TGAAAGTATATGAAAGTATATGAAAGTATTTGACAGTATATGACAGTATATGACAGTATATGACAGTATATGACACTATATGGTAGTATAGGACAGTATATGACAGAATACGACAAAAACAAAAAAAGTGAAAAAAAAAATTAAGTTCGTGCAAATGGAAACTTATTACTTTTTTGTTGTCAATCAATGAAATTACCACAGTAAATTATAATTGAATAGATATTTTTTTTATTTAAGCATATTTAATTTCTTTAAAAAGTTTATGAGATTATTATGAAAAGTATGAATGTTCTGTAATTCCTCGTGTTATAGTAATAAAAAAGTTTAAAATTGGTATAAATTGAAATAGATTTAATTTTTATTGTAAATAAAAGTACCAACTTAATGATAAACAGTTTTATTTAATGAAATGTATTTCATTTTATTAAAATAGTTTTGGAATTATAATTAAATTAAATAAAAACTTGAAACTAAATTAGATTTATTAAATAAATAGGAGATACATAAATAATAAATTGTGATCAATGTAAATGCTTAGTCTTCTTCCATGGTGTTTCTTGAGGTGAATGGATATGAATCGGAGTAGTTCTTAATCTTCTCCTTGACCTTCTCGCAAGCCCTTTGATCCTTAATCTGATCGGCCGGACAGGAGAATTGCAATTCGCGCCAGAAGCAGTGTCCAAACTTCATACCAGTGGTATTGCAAGCGGCCTCCTTTCCTTCAGCTTCAACCTTGACAGGTACCTGTTTAGCTTCAGTAATACATCTATCCAAAATCTCATTCAATTTTGGTGCTAGCCACTCTTCCTTAGCGAACTTCTCCTTCATCTGAGTCTTGATTGCCTCCTCCTTGATGTTACCTTCAGCGTCGAGCTAGAATTAACAACAATTCCCTTAATGAAACTCACCGCAATTGAAGCGAAAATAGAGGAAACGCCTAACTTACCACATCCTTCTTTTGTCCCACGCATTGCATCACACACTGAAACGTAAAATAAAAAGATTTACAGTTTACGCATAGTTCATTGATGCAATTCATCTTACGGTCATTTCCCTCCTGTGTCTCTCGACCTTATCCTTGTCGCACTTGAATGGATCGTTGTGGCCGTGGTATCCGGAATGCTTGTCCTTTCCAGTAATCTGCTTGTAGCATTCCTTCTTCAGCGGTTTTTCCATGTCGTGGATCATCTCCAGAGTCTCTTCGGCGCAGCAGAATTTCGAGCGTTTCCTTTTGCACTTGTCGGAGGATCCGGATGCGGCTTCTTCGTCGCGCCGGGCTCTTGGATGGACGGCTACAGTCTCCGTTTCAAACTCCTCCAAATCCCTTGCCAAGACTTCATCTGCAATTTGCGATTAATTTCTCGGTTTGTTAATGGAGGTATTACTCTACTTACTGTAAGCTGAGTCTTCGAAGTTGTAAGCGGAGGAGATGTTGATGGCGGAAATGGCCAGGAGGAGGCCGCAAGCGATCAATTTGTTCATGGTTGGACCGGTGTGTGTGTTGAACTGCCGGATGGATCTTCTGGTTCAGCTTATATACCACTCGCATCCCAGAACGGAACAAAGGCAGGTCGTGCAAATATCGGCCAATTAGTGTGAACACCGTGCCGTAGCCTAAGGTAACAACACAACAACCATCAGCTCTAATCGTACCGTTCCATCTCTATCTTTGTCCAACTCATATACTGTTATACCATCTCACTTTCATTACAAACTTTACATTCAATTTACCCATTTTTTTGTTCATTTATTATAATGACCGCTTCTCCGCATACAAACAAAGAAATTATATTAAATTTAATTAAATCAACAAAAATATTAAAAAAAACAATGTAAAAACATCAAAAAACATAAAACAATTACAAAACTATATAGATATTTCCATAATTATTAAATTACAAATTTTATTTCAATGAAATCAAACATAATATAAGTGAATATGAACAAAATAAGTTTAACATTCAATAAAATAAGTATAATTTTATATGCAACTATACCTCGCATAGTGCGGCTTCGATCAGTGCGTTTTCACTATAGTCCGGTTTGAAAATTTGAAAGCAGACTAAATTTTAATTGAACTTAATAAAAAATATACACAATACACAAATTGTTTTATACATAAATGGTCGATTCTTTTTTCTACATAGTTAAGTCTCTTTTTGTGCAATTTATTTTGCAACAGTTTTAAAAACCTCGATTAGTACGCTTTCTGCTATTTTTATATGCATAATTATGAAAGGTTACAGCAAAAATATTCTTATTTTATCAAAAAAAAAGTAAAATAAATTTAACTACCATAAAAATGGAGTATTTTTTATTATATTACTTTAGTCAGTATTACCTCTTTATTAAATACTCCATTTTTTTCACAATTATGTCCATATAATCTATTTCATTAATTAAATTTTATAAACAAATTTCTTTATCAAAATCTATAAAAAAAAATATGTTTATAGAATATTAAATAAAAGTCGTTTATTATACAAGTTTAAAACATAAAATATTTCATTTTATAATTAACTTGTATTAAAAATTTTAATTATTTTAGTTTCGTGTTAAATAAATTTATAGAATTATAAAATTTATTGAATTTTTGTTAAAATTCAGATTTTAAAAAGGCGGAAGGAAAAGTTGTTTTTGTTTTTCTTATTTTGTTTTTTGTATTATCATAGCAATTACACATGAATTATAGTGAAATCACATCAATGATAAGATAATTGGTGATAATCTTTTAGTGTAGAGTTCAAGAATTCACGTTTGGTGCTATTATGTAATAATTCAATGTTTTGGGACAAAAAATATAGGAATTTAATGAAGTATGTTTCCGTTTATTATACAAAAAATGTTCATTGAATATCATGTGATTATAATGAAACCGTAATTATATAGCTTTTTTATAACTCATATAATCAATCTTTTACAAAAAAATATGGACACTTCTATAAGTGGGTAATTATAGAAGTGTCCATCTTTTACAAATTATATGTATAGAATGAAACGTGTTTAATTATATATTATTATAAGAGTAACAAAATATTAACATTTTATTTTATAAAATTCAATTCATGTAAAAATAACGACTCAAGTCTTTGTGTCCAAATTTCATAACATTGTTGTTGTTAATGTTTATACGATAATAGCTATTATGGGTGGGCAAGCATAATGTCAATGAGAGCCGCACTTAACTCAACGAAGAGCCGCATTTGCCCACTTATAGAAGTCTAATAATAACCTGAAACCTATTTGTTTTAAACAAACTTTGGAATTACACTTATATGTTAATATTTATTCATTATTCATATCAAAATATTTCATTTTACATAAAGATCTTTCAAATAATTTGTAAGCAACCGTTGAAATTACTGTTATACGCATAGCAAGTTTTATTAAGTTAATAAATTATTCTTACAATAATATGAAAATATACCATTTTACATTTAGATCTTTCAAATATATTTTTTTTATCAATTCACAAATCAAATTTTTATTGGTTGATTAACAGACTGAGGTTTCTATTAATTTACATAACTTGATGGGAATTAAAATAATCTTAAAAAAACTACAAGCAAAATACAAACTCATTATTTTTTCTATCTTCAATTTAAAAACCATGAATAAAAAAAACACACCTTTGTACATAACTTATTATTGCTGCAATAATTACCAAATAATAACCACGTTGAAGTTCATTTTTGTGTTGTTTATAATTAATAAATTGCATTAACAGGAAACGAAAATTTATCGCGAAGTCATCATCTCGTTACAGCATTACGCGATTACATAATATAAAATACAAAAGATCGCTTGTTGCAGCCGCAAAAAGCAATTATAAGTGTATTACAGTCTTCTTCCGAATCCTTTGTCCTTGCCTTAATATTATCCGCATTTATTTTACTCTTTTCACCATTTTGTAGACACGAAATTCAGCAATTGTAAATTTTTAACGCGAATCGGAGATGTTAATGTTTTATTAAAATTAAAATTCTCTGCTTCTTCGGCTAATGGAGAATTAATAGCCTTCGCCTCCGGTTTCAATACAAAACCTGGCAATTACGGATATTTCCATGCTTCTTTTATACCAAAATAACAAAAATATATACATTAATTCACGTTTATTTCGTTACATTTATATATTTTTTTTCGTTGAAAATCGTTGCTCTAAATATTTCATTTCCATCATCGGCATCGCTTCTATTATTACTACTGCGCGTTGCGTAATGTCATAATATTAAAACCGGATTTGTTTTACATATAATACAAATAAATAGCGAACATCCCGTTTGCGTTTCGCATTATCATTATTTATATTTTGCGTTGCGGCTTTAACGTGTATTTATTAATATTATTCATTTAACTTTATCATTTCATTTTTCATACTTCCCAACGTTATTATTTATTTATTTATTTTTTTTGTTATTTTTGCTATTTGTTCCACAATAATTTTGCATTGTTGTTGCAAAAGCGGAGAGCAAAAAAAAATGTATTAACCGTACTTGATTATTGAACAATATTTGCTCACTGTTCCCAATGTTGATGTTATGGTTTTCATTGTAATTTGATGTGCATCATTTTTTTTTATTATTATTAATAGTGTTTATTACCAGCTGGACTATTGTTATTCAAAATACTAGTAAATTTACATTTCTATATTTATTTACAATCATTTCATATTCTAAATTGAAAATGTTAACAATTTGTATATTTACAATTTATAATTATTTGGTATATTGAAAAGGATTTTACGTTTTAGTTTGAAAATATTGTATTTTTTTAACTATTACAGGTTTTCTTGCACTTAATCAAGAATTTCTTTAAAAAAAATCCTTGGATGAAAATTAATTACAAAATCGGACTTATATACTTTCGTATGAAACTCTTAGATTAATTTGATATAAAAATGAACAGGAAATATTTCATTTTTCAAATTTATTTATTTTTATAATAAAAATAAACAATTTATAAAAATCTGTAAAGAAAATTTCTAAATTAATATTTTTTTAGCTAATTTTATAGGAAATTAAATTAATAATTAAGTGTTTTTGGAATAAATCAAGGTTTTCTTAATAACTTTATATTTTTCTTTGGTTAAAATAATTGAAATTATTTTTTATTGTTGTCTTCTCATGAAAGTAGCAAATTTATTGGTTTTCATAATAAGCTTACCTGTATCAAATAAAAGCAAGAAATTTCATACACATTTAGTTGAAATTAATACATTTTTCAGATTGTAATAATTTATTTTTGTAATAATCTGTAGAAAATTTATAAAGAAATATACAGATTTAATGATAAGTATAATTGTTCTTTTCTCTTAATTTTATTAGCAATTAAATTAGTACACTTATACCATGCTTAGTACGGGTACTTGCTATAGCGGACTTTTTGAAACCGCACTAATTGATGAACTTTCTATATAAAATTAAAAATATTTGTAGTGAAAAATCATCACTACTATCATTAAAACAGATTATATATTTTTTAATTCTAGAACTAATTATAGATTTAATATTAGATATAAAGATCAATATTTTGCACATCATTGTATAAAACCGGTGCAAAACGTGCGAGATGCAATCACGAATTCGTCCCAGATTATGAACTTGAACTTGGGCCCGTTCACCATTTACCATTAACTTATTTACCATCCGCATGCATTTCACTCCGACCTTTCTAATGGAAACGCACAAAGTGTGCTAACCAATGAAACTACTCTTTTTTCTACTTCCACTCAAGACTCAACACAAAAAAAAAACGAACAACAAGAAACTAGGTCTGCTTGATGGATGTATGCTAATTTTGTTTTCGTTTCGGACGACAGGTAGAAAAAAAAGAGGTTTACCGCTATTAGTACCGAAAATGGAGTGGAGATCCTCGCTGTGTGTGTTTTTTTTGAGTATATTGATGGCGAATGTTGAAAATTTGTATGGAGCAAATTAATATCCATGACCTGGAGAGAGCAGTCGTTGAACTGATCTTTGGCTCCGAAATGAATTAGGACCACTTTGAGTATGCTTTATTTATTTACCAATTTTGAGGAGAGTGTGTTGACTCTTGGCTTGGATCATCTGTAGCTGCGGCAGATCAGGAAGGATTTTTTTTTATATCTCTGTTGCTCTTCCAACGGTTGCGTAACGAAATTGCGTTCCGCGTTTATTGGTAACGGTTATGTTGGACAAGGTTATTTATCCGTGCGAGCTAAATCATCCAGGAAACTTCCGCTTTTAATTGCACAATTACACGATTTTCATGCTCATTATTGCATTTTGCTACAATACCTGAGTTTCTATTAAACAGAGAAAGAGAACGAAATAAACAATTTGATGGGTTTTATAAAGTCGTATAATGTTACATGAACTTTAATCATTCCATGCATTTATAAATTAAAAACAAAGTTTTCATAAAAAAGTAACTGCAGTAATTGATCAGAATAGAAAATATATACAGGCTTATATAATGACTATTTCCTTAAAATAATTTACTGAATGTCATTTGTGAATTGATGAAAGAAATATTGAGATCTAACATGCAAAATCCACAACCTTGAAT